GAAGCCAGCAAGTTGCAATCTGCAACTACAGCGCTAGATGCCACTAAATCTTACACACTGGACCTTTAAAGACAAATAAATAAATAAATAACTGTGATAACTGGTATATACCAAATATATCTAAAAAAAATCATTTGTGAATATTTTATATCAAATCCTATATCAAGTGTTACGTAAATGAAGTCATCCAATCAAGTGTGATTTGGGGCAACTAAGGAGGTGTTTGATTGGATGTCAGTTGGCAAGAACTTTTACATTTCCAAAACAATCGGATTCTACTCTAATATGTCCATGTCCATGGATGGGGGAGCTGTGGGTAGAGGCCTACAGTCCTCTACGCAATGATTTTCCCCGCCAGGATGGCGAAGTCTGGACCAAAAACAGAGCTAAAATACAGTGAATACTGGACACTCAGGTGACCACAAATATTACTAAAAATTAAAAAAAATGTTTCTCCATAACTCCTGTACGTACAAAGCAACTGTTTGCTAACAGGTTCACTGTATCAACAAAAGGTGATATGTCAGTGCTCTGCTCCCAATTTGTTTTTGCTGCCCCCAAGTGGTAAAAAAAAAAACAGTTATTGCAGCTTTAAGTCAACCTGATCCAACACTAACTTCAGCAGATCCGACAAGCTGACAGATTACTACTCAGATGTAACTTGGCCACAGTTTACAATTGGTCATCACCTAGACATAATATCCACCACTGTTTTCACTCTGCTCTCTTTCATCTGCTCCGAGTAGTCACACTGTTTGCTTTATCTTTGCCAAAACTCTGCAGCAAGACGCCAGAATGTGTAAAAGGCCACTTTGACTTCATCATCTCTCTCACCCTCATACTTCCACCCATGCAATTGCAAATCCTCCTGTGTTTTTTCTTTTTGTCTAGTACTTATGGGTTCACCTTTGCCTCCTTCTCAACTCCTCTCAGCGCTCTCTACATTGTAACATCTTCTTTTTCTTCTTCTTCCAACCGCCTTTCCCTCCACCTCACGCCTTTCTTGTGTCCAGACGTATAGTACTCTGCTCCGAGCGATGGGTTCTCAACTCTCCAGATGGCAGTCATTTCCACAGACGCTCAATTTCAAGGCTAGGGAGGAGGGGGGAGGCAAGGGGGGGAGCAGAGCATCCAACATGGTGGCAAGTGATCCATGAGATGATCTGACGTTTGGAGAAAAGTTCAGAGAGCAGGCGACACTGTTTAACAGATTTGAGCAGGAATGGTTTTCCTGTCCAGACCTGAAATTATTATTAAAACATTACACTATATATTTATATTTGTCATATTTTGATATGACTCACCTTTGTTCAAGTGTCATACTTTCTCAAGTCAAAAACCGAAGTAAAATACAGCTTGCAGTTTTGACACGTGGAGCTGAAAGTGTTGAATGCCTCGCCATCTGTCTGCTGTGCGTACACTCAACATTACAGGCTATTATTCATTTCCGCATCAATTGATTTCAGTGAAAACACTCACATTAGAGAAACTTTAAATCAATCAAATCACACTGGGGATCTCATAACAAGAAAAAATTGTTTATGGTCAGGTGTCTACCTAATGGTTCCGTCAGGAATAATTCTAATTTTTGCCATTTGGGGAAATTAAAATCACAACCTCTTTTAACCTAAAGAACAATTTTCCATATGCTGCTTATCATCTGGCTTGCTGTTTGTTGTCTGTTTATTTCTGATGTTTGAGGATGTCTTCCATACATTAGTTTCTGTTGAGTCCATTCTGCAGTAGCAAGGGGGAAGATCACTACGTAGAAAAGGTTCTCCAAGAAAAAAGAAAGACATGACAGAAAAACTGAAAGTGTGTTGAATATATTATACTGTATACTTAACCAAAAAACTCCAGAATATATGGATAAACAAGCCATCTTTATACTGGTATTTCCAGAACATAGTATTCATCGTAAGTGTCCAATGAAGAAAGGCCCTTTTTCTTCTAAACTAATACAATCTTCTAAATCTAATTTCCAAAATGTTCATGCCAATTGTCTTGAAGTTTGAATGCTTTACAAGAAGGCGGATTTATATCTAGCATGGACTTATTTTTAAAATGAAATATCCAGCATGATGAACAGACTGATTTCACTGTTCAATAGTTTAGGTCCAGATTTTACATTCAAAGTGTTTATTTTATTGACACAATACATTTATGAGTCATGGGGAAAAAAACACAACCAACACACAATGAAAGTGAGTGGGAATGAAAAAATACAAGATGCACAGCAAGAGGGAGAAAAGGGAGGGGGAGTGACGTCCAAGTTGAGTGTGTAATTGTATTGAGACTATAGAACATAACTCAGCACGTCCATATGACAGGATGTATCGCTGCTGCAGATTCTCCACAGTGGACCGCGTCACAGCCAACGACAGACCAACGCACTTCTCTTAAATGTACATTAAATCAACAACCGATGTACTGTACAGTTAATTGTAAGGTGAATTGTACAGTGAATACACAACAACCCCTTGTTTTTCAAAGAAAGTGGGGCTGCTGCCAATCCTAGCTAATATGTGATTTATTCATCTGTAATTTTGTAAGATGCTTCCTACATCCCTAACCAAGGAGAATCAGACATCACCTTTGTTACCTTTAACAATAAAAAGGTAGCCCAGTCGCCAACCTGAGAACAGCAGGGGCTTGGTCCTCCACCCACACAGAGATCCTGTGGTTATAAAGACATTTCCACTGCCTTGGCACTACACTCCACTACTTGCTGCTGTGGGGTAAAGGTTGGGGATCACAGGAGAATTAAAAAAAATCTGGCTTTTCAGTGCACGGCAGGAAGTCCTAGATGGCCCTTAATCTGCCCACACCGAAGAAAACGTAAACTGAACAGGCAGAGAAATGGATAAAAATTAATGATCACAGGAGTTACACTTTCTCACCTTTCTAATGAATCCAAGAAGCCAAATGTTCTGCTGCTGAGCTGTACCCCACACATGTAACATTGTCACCTTTTGCAGCACAGATAAGAGCATATCACAATAATTGTCACAGAGGCTCAAGTATTTAACTTTGCATTCCTGCCTTAGAGAGGCAGTTCTCAGAGGTTCAGTTCTTGAGCTTAATGCATGCTTAACAAGCTATGTTTGCATATTCATATGCCTTGATTATCTCATAGTAATGAATGTTTCAGCTCAAATATTTCTGTACTGTCTGTCTTACTGTCCCATGTAATGAAAATCCAATACCCCACGTCTCCACAGTGTTATCAACAACTGCAAAAGCCATCATGCATCCATCACATGAAGAAGAGAGAGAAATCTGTGTATCAAGTGCTCTGGGGATTACCCCACTACAATGTTAGCTCAAAAAAGCAATGCATTCCATATGCACAGTACAAGAAAAGGCACTGTGTACATCCAAGAACATACATCTGTCAGTCCACTTCCATGATGCATTCATGGTCAGACTCCACTGACAAACAGTTCTGCAAAAAGATAGTTCAGCCTCTGCCCACATGCACATATTTTTAATCTGAAAATGTGGAATTTTAAATACATTGTCATTTAGAAAAAAGGTACATGAATTGTAATCTCAGTGCAATGTAATCATTTGTATACATGCATTTAAAAAACGACAGATTGCCCCAACATACGTAAGCATGAGCACAGCATGTTATCCAGATCCAGTAGGGCCGCACAATTAATCAAAATATTATTGAAATTGCAATATGGCCAAGTGCGATATCCAAATTGCAGAAGCAATATGCAAATCGCAAGAGCTGCAATGTTTTGTTTAAAGTAAAATGTGTGACAAAACAGCACAATAAAGTATTGTAGTGCTGTAGAGATGCCCTGGTCTACAAATCTTGTTCTTCAGATTTAAGAAAACATGTTTGTTTGATACAGACCCCCCAAAATGTCACATTTCACGCATGATTTTATTTTTTTATTTTTTTATGAAAATTAAATTTGAGATGCAAAAATAATGATTCCCAGACTAATCGCAATATGATGTTTTTACCACATAATGCAGAACACATATCCAGTCACATTCCCATCTCCCATGACCTGACTTTAAAACGTTAAACATATAAAGGAATAGGATGTTGCACACATGGCAGACAATATTCCAGCAGAGAATTAATTAAAGCTACAGATCTTCTCACTGCAGCATCACTCTGCAGAATGACACTCACCGACATGAGAAGACACAGAAGCCAGTACCTTGTCTGCACAATATCGGTAAGTAGGAGCACTGACGGGTCTATTGTCCCTATGTTGTGGGTGTATCATCATGCAGTCAGCTCCAGAATTGATCTTTTTCCAGTCACTGGGAAGTGTATATATGTAATATGTTTCTCAATACAAGCACCTTCACCTGTTTCATTCAGGTTTGAGAGTAATACGCTGTACTTTCAGACGACACACCCCACAGCTGTATTGTGAAGTGTTGTCATACTGTGGAGTGGCATTTACTTGTAATGATCTGAGCCAATCCAGTTTGATGAGGCACATTCTTCTTCTACTCAGTGTATAAGCTCACCACCTTCTAAAACAGACAGCAACAGTCTCCTGACACTGCTGATCAAGACTTCAGTGTCTGGCAGATTTCCATGAACTTAATTTTCGTCATCCAATGTTTCCTCTCTTTTTTTGCATTGTAGTTTATTGTTTGTTTTTTGTGTACAAGTGCCCGTCTGGCGATCTCACCTTTAATTTGACCTCAGTAATCCTTAAAACTCTACCGTTTTCATCTTTGTCTCCCTCACTCCTCACTCTTTCCTTTGCCTTTCTCCTCGTTAGCGGCCACAGTATCGGATGTCTCCAAGGAAATGTTATACTAGCAAAGACAGAAGCAACAGGGTGTTGATTACAGGGCATATATGCACCCTGACTGAATGTGGAAGCTTTATTTGAAAATCCACAGTAGCTGGTTGACTGTACAGCTTTGCAAAATGAGCAAAAAAATACAAAAGATAAAAGAAAGTGCTTCAAATAAACAAAATCTGAAAATATTTTAGTACAAACACTCATCGAACACTGAAACAAGAGGTGCTGTTGTCCAGCTGCCACACCTGTGTTCAATTTGGCTACTAATTGTTCTGTGAGCAGCTGTTGCAAACGGTGTTCGTTAAGACCTGCAGCGCCGATACAAACGACACAAAGGGCTTGCTTATAAGCCCAGAGGTCATAGGTTGTCCCAATGAGCATCAGACCATAGCTTCTGAGGAGTAAAGGGTGCTGTGTCTCAGCTAACAGCCATGGCTCTTGGACTCCTTTTGCAGTGAGTTTCTCAGCACTTTATTCTCTTAATTACCTTTTGAGCAGACTTTAATCAGATGTTGGTTTTTACTGCTCTCTTTTGCAGGGTTACCTCTATCTCTTTTCTGTTATTTGATGGTGGTGTTGGTGTACCGGCTATAAAAGGTAATGACTTTCTTATTTAATTAACACATTGGGGCCCACACATCTATTTTATTTAACTGCTAATTTTACAGGGTATGGATATCCATATAAATCTGACTCCAGTAACATGGTTGAAGAGGAAGTGATGACCTGGCCAACCTTTGATCAGAGTAACTGGCAGTCTTCAAACAACCCACCGGCTGGCAGTGTATACACAACCAACAAGAAGCCTGAATTTACGCAGTCAGCTTGGGCTCCATCTCGACAAAACCTGCCAAACACACCCAGTAGTCGTGAGGTAGAGAGACTTACTGATGGTCTGTCAAGACCCTGGGGACTGGAAACTGCTGACAAACCACTTTTATTTCCTCTAAAGCTGACTGATCCAGCCAAACCTCAGCCAGGTCCCGTCCAACCTCAATCAGCACCACTTGGTGTAGCCTCTACGTACAGTATGCCTTCCTCTCCAAGTGCTGGTGGCCCAACTTCCTACTATGCCCCATCCTCTACCTCTCCTGCTGCGCAGTCACCTAGCTTTGCTTCTTGGCAGCCTGAGCCAGATAGCAGTGGTTATGGTATGATTGGCTATAACGCTGGCTCCAGTGCAGATAGTGGCGCTAACGTTCCCCATCTTGTCTATGAGGAGGTTTTTCAATATCCTTCTAGTAACACTGAGCCCTCGAGTAATGGTGCCATCTCCAATGCTGCAGGAGGGTCTTCAATTAAATACAACTCCCCACTATTGCCCAGTTATCCACCTAATATAGTAGCCCAGCCTGCCTATCCATCTGGGATGCGGGGCTTCCCTGGAGGAGTGAGACCCAATATTGGTCAAACAGGCAAGCCACGTGATGAGATCTCTTCGCTTCCACAAAAAACAGTTATCAGGACCCAAAAAGTTGTTTCCCAGAGACTGACTGAACCAGTCCCTCCTTCACGCTACATTATCCAGTCCAGAAATGGCTACCAGCAACACCAGCATCACTTATCCAAATCCAGCTACTCGCCAGAATTTCCCCCTCTAATGCCTGTAAGGTCGAAGGCTGTAAAGGGTCCAGCACCAAGTCAACCAGCTGCACCTCAAGGTGTAAGTTACCCTCAAAGGTATGTCCACTACTTCAAACTTCAGTCTCTAAGTGTTTGAACAAATGTCATCAGAATGATTCCTAATCAATAAGGGTTTGTCTTCCAGAACCAAGTGATAACCAACATGGCTATTGTGGCAGGTAAATCTTTAAATTTATATTAACACTTCACAGTAATTTTCCCCTTGGGGATGAATAAAGTATCTAACGGTCCTGCAAACATTAACCTCTGCTTTCTTGCAGAACGACGCGTCCGCTGAAGAAAATAAAACTCTTTAATTTAAATGGTATTTGCTGCGTGGGACTTATTTCCATGTGTACGCTTAGATCTGCTTCCTCCATACAGTATTTGCTTATGGAACGATGAACCTACCGGTACTTGCAAATGCTTCACTTAAAAGCTGCATGTATGATGGCAGCAGTACTCAAGTTTTCAGTGAATCAAGGAGCTTTAATCTTTACAGATGTTTACTGTCTCATGGGTCAAACAAATGCTTTTGTCAGACTACACTGGTCTTACTCTGCCACTAACAAATGCACCATGTACACACATGCAAGTGGTTTACCTTGGCATTGAAATCCTTGTTTCCCAAATCCCCTGCAACAAAAAAACACCAGTGTCAAACATGTGTTTTCTGCCAAAGCAATATATAAAATCTTTCAATTATCTGGTTAATATCTCTAATTTGTCTTGAAGCTTCGTCTGTTTCAGTAAAATTAATCTCTAAGCAATAGATGTGCTTGTCAGAGGTATGGAAACTGTATAATAAAGCAAGATTTGAGGGACATGCTCGATCACACCAAGGCTGTAAACGTGAACATATTAAACTTACTGAAGAACCAAAAGCCTTGTTTACTAGATGCTCTAAAGATCTGACTCTGCCCTCAGAACTGATATGAAAGTGAGTTAAGGCTGTCTGCATCAGCTGTTTTAAACAGGTGTGCATAAATGATGCTTACCATATGAAGTCTGTACAATGGCTGCAGAACGTCGGCTGCTTGAAAAACCTCGCAGTAAATTTATGGTTTTTCACTTCATGCACATTTTTCTGCCGCAAAGCACCTTTGCGGGCGAATCGGTTCCCAACCCCAGCTGAGTCACTATAATGTAAAAGATGGTCAGCCATAGTGGGGAGGAAAAAAAACAACAAAAAATAAAAAAAATGACACAGCCACAACTTCGTGTTGTCCCGACTGGTTTCTGTGAGGGTCCTGGTCTCTTCACAAGCTCTTGACAAGTGGTGGTGGTTCTGCTAGGGTGCTCCTGACAGACCGCACGCCTCCCCTCTGCCCGGACCACAGCTGAGCGCTTCTTTTTCAAAGTGACGTCGGTGAAGTCTGCATTCACGTGCTGTGGGAATATTTAACTTCAGTTCCTGCGCACATTTAACGACACGACCGAGTTCACCAGAAGTGGTTTGGGGACGGTATTTAAACACGTGAAATGGCACGTCCCTCTAATGTTATGTATTTGTATTAAGTCGGGGTATTTAGTTTTTATTGTATGCATGAATATGTTTTTTTAACATTGAGTTTTTAGTGATGAATGAACCGAGGCGACATGTCCCTTCATCAGTTGTTGACCATACCACAAACTGAAGGGGTCGTGCGCCATCTTGTGGACTTGAACAACATTACGGGTTTTAGTTAAGCCTGAGAATCATGCCAGGTGTTAGAGAGACCGGTCGAAAGGCCGCAAAACAAGTCTTATTTGTCTACCTTTAATGTCGCTCACGCTGGGAATTAAAGTCTGTTTGTTTTTAATTTTTTTTTTTTAGCATAAACGGGGGTAATTAAAACGCTTTTATAAATCAGAACACAAATGTATTGTGCACTGGTGGGGATTTAAAAAAAAACAGTGCACCGTCTAATAAAACATAACAAGTTACGTCCTTAAAACAAACGGCAAACATGGAGAAAGTAAAAAAATAAATAAAACGATGTGCAGTTTCTATGGCAACAGGGGGACGCTGCGTGTCTACGGAAAGCGGATGTGGCGTAGCGTGTGGACGCTGGAGTTTTGAACCATTTTGAGCGGCGGAATCAGTGCTCAATGTAAGTGGCGTTTTAGTCCTTACTGTAACTTTTTCATCAACAGCGTGTCACGTTTAGTGTTGTTGGTCTGTTTCCGGAAGTCCGTATGAAACAATAACAAGCCCGCGAGGGTTTTACCGGTTGGCTTTTGCTAGCTCGTTTGCTAATATCGTAACTGCGCTACAGTCCATCAAGCGTCTGGGTTAGCTGACTTAGTTTGTAAACACTGCTCGTTATGGTTATTAGTAATCATGTTGTGTTGTGCAGACACTCCGCGACACGTTGTTATCCTACTTGTTTCATGTAACCAACGTTAGATTATCCTCTCTCCACCTGATTTGAGTGAACAGGTCAGCTATAAGCGCTCCTTGTAGCTAGCTAACATAGGCAACGCTAGCCGATAGACTAACTTCTGATACTTCTCATTCCTGTAACCATTTATTCATCCCCCTCAGATCACCATGAGCAGATACGACGACTCATGGGAAAGGCTGGACTCTGAATTTGACCATTTTCTACTGGATATGAAGCCATATGTCCTTAAACACCCCAACAAGACAGGTTGGATGTCATTTTATCTCTATTCACTTCACTAAATGCAAAATGCATAATAGTTTAAACATCACTGTAGAAAACTTAATTGCAGGCTATTTTGTGCTTTTCTTATACCATGCTAAACAAATTAATATGATTAGACCTCTCTGAGAAATGAACTGACAATTAACTGCTGTATCATAATTTGCCCTGTCCTTCTGTCTCTTCCTTTGACCCCAGAACGCCAGCGATGTGCCATATGGATAAAGAAGCTGTGTGACCCAGCCACATGTGGTTCAGGTCTGACAGGTCGTAAGAACCGCAACATGTATGCCCGTTTGCTCCTACACATGCTCAAAAGAGGGATCCTGGAGTTGCCTTTCACCAGCAAACCAGAGGCTGGCAGCCTCAAGACACTCCCTACTTACATGGTAACAGTGACTGCTTTATTAAATCGTATTTGCAATATTGCTGTGCTGCCATGTAGTAGTGACATAGTGGTTTCAAACCTTCATTTGTAGTATAATACAATGCAAAAAGGCTGTCATAGTCAAGTTTAAATGAAGAGATATTTTTTTAGAAGCAACAGACTCACAGTTACAAAAAAGTATTGCAGTTTGAATATAACGCATTCGAAACTCATTAGATAGCATTGCAATGGGTTGCATATAACTAATAAATTAACTAAATCTTCATCTCCTGTCTTTAAATTTTAATTCCTAGTCCATCTACTTTGATGAGCCACAAACTGGTTGGCCTGTGGAGCACAGCAATGCAGGTCTGCCTGACTGGGTGACAGGAGAGCTGGGTGGCTGTGATGACAGTTTGACTCGCAGTCTGCTTAAGGACAGAACCAGTTCCACACCTGTCGCAGCTCATCACAGGTACTAGTCCACTGTACATTACACTAAATATATATTGCTTCACCTTTAAAAATGTACCTAAACAAAACTTGGCAATGACATCTGACTTTTTTCCCCTTCAAACCTTTATACATAAACATGGTAACATGGTCAGGCTCTCAGCTTTATAGATTTAATCATTATTATGTACTGGCGTATGGTAATGCACAAAAACTTAACCTGGCTCCAGATTTTAAAGTATGATGGCCGGATGTGTACATTGGTCTACAATTTATTTAAATTCACTGTATATCACAATATTTATGGGATCTAATATTATCTGTCTTCACCAGTGATTAATCTTTATATTTATGTTTTATATTTACCTTAACTTTTCAATACTGTATGCATGCTTTGTTTTTTCTGGAGCAGAAAGCTGCTGTGTAAATTGTTAAGTGCACCAATAATGTGGATTGAGGGTTTGACTCAGTGTTTGAGATATAATTTATCTGTCAGAACTTCCATATCTTTTTAATAGTGTGTTTGGTGCTTCACACAACTGTTTGCATCACGCTGCCTCCTTTCTAGAAAAATTAGCTAATATAATGATGTGAGGAACTTGATCTTACTTTTAAATTCAAATGGAAATGGATGGTGATTTCCATGTACAGTGTATTGGCAATATAACTTTCCTAGGTAGAAGCATATCATACTCGCATTTGACAAACACTGAGAGGTTCTGGCACCCCTCACTTTTGAAATGCATCCCATTTTACAGTCAAATATTATTTTTATATGTTCCTGCACAAATAGAGTTTATTGAAAACACAGCTCTCCCGTTTTTCCAGCTGGTGACTTAAGTTTTCTAATAAGAATACTGACGAGGAATCCTTTTGGTCAACATATAGCAGATAATATATTTATCCAAGCATTCTGTTTGGTGTTCTTTTATCAGACTGGAAACACTGAACTTGGCTGTGAAGCTGGATATACACAGCTTTCGAGACCGATCACCCGTCATATTTGTTCAGCAGCACTATCTGAAAAGCCAAAGACGTTGCCAAGTTCTTGCATCAGTCTGCATGAGCTGTCCATTCTGACTTTTCAAAGAGATGCACTTCAAAACAGCATGAGAGGATGAGGAACCTCTCATATTCTCTATCCATCTTTCACTTATTCTCCTCTTTACACTTTACCCAATTGTTAAACCTGAGGTCTAACCTCCACAGAGTAGAGAGGAAAGCAGAGAGTATGGCTTGGAAGCTCATTAGCTTGTTCTCAGCTAAACGCCCAAAACATAAATGTAGGTTTTTTGGATTTGGAAATGTGCTGTTTAAATAAAACACTGTGACTGGAAGCCCATGTGCTACTCTTGCACACACACACACATGAATACGCGCATGTTTGGGAACAATTAAAACATGCCTCACTAAATCATCAGTCATCCTAGTTTGCTCAGGGATATTTCCTCTGACTCCAGGCAGTTCATGGGCTTGACAAAGTGATGTTAGTAATGGCTCAGGGTTTTTCATTCCAATTAACAAGGAAAGGCAAGTCAGAGCCCAGTGGCTTGATATACTCATTAGCATAATAAAAAAGAGAGCACTGTATGTAAGTGTAAGTGTGGTAAAGAGAGCTTAATATCCACCAGGGCACTGTGTAAGAATGAGTACAGGCCCTCTGCTGCCACATGTAATTGAAATCGTACTGTTGGGGTTGTAGAATATTTGATCGTTAGAAAATGATCATTAAGAGTTGTTTATTTCTGTAATGTGATGGGTCAGTTAATTAAATTCATCATAGCCTGTTGTTGCCTGATAGAGTTTATTTTCTATGACTTGATGTCTAGCATTGAGGTATATTTACTTGATTACTGACCGGTTTGCACAAGAGATGCTATGACTTACATTACAATTGGTTTGAAACAGTGGCTACCCTCAATAAGGCACTGCCCTTCCTCCCATCTGCTATAAAGGATGTGGATAGAGAGGGGTTGTGGGGAGCAGACTGCTGAGTACCATAGTGTCTGATTGGGATAAGACCATGAAAGACGCTCAGATCAGAGGCTAACGTCCTGATGGAGAAAATTAGCTTGGCCAAGAGTCCTTTTATGTGTCTCTCTCATTTAGATAAGATTAAATGGAGGGAACTCGTCTGACTCCCTCCCTATGATGTGGCAACGTTTGATCTCTGTCTCACTTGCCATTAGTCAGGTGATGGGCAGGGCTTCTTTTAGCTTGTGAAACTGTTGGGTCTAATTCAAGTTTTAAGATCTAAAGGCAAAGTTGGGATGATTTTGTGATATCTTGAGATGTTTACTTCTGTTTCACACAGAAGTTGATGTGCTATAGTGTGTGTGTGTGTGTGTGTGTGTGTGTGTGTGTGTGTGTGTGTGTGTGTGTGTGTGTGCGTGTGCGTGTGTTTAAGAGATACATCATCTAACCTCATTAGTCCAAAATGCCCTGAGCAAATTCCACCGTGTGTTCCACTATTACTGTGCTTCTCCTAATTTAGCCACAAGATGGAGCCACTGCTTTGTGTATAGCACCCATTCAGGCAGAGGAATGCTGTGGGAAAGCAAGTGCAGTCAGTGAGGGTCAAGAGATCATACAAAACAGCTTTTGTGATTAGCCGACATGTCCACTCTATCTTCTTATACATTCACCTTATGTTCAAAGGAGACAGATAATGATAAAGACTCAAGGGAGAAAATGGCGGGTGTGGGTGGGTCCTGACATGTTAACTTAGTAATCAGCACAGCTGGAGTCAGGTTCACTGATAGGTTTAGTTGTGGTTTAATCACTTTGGATGTGACTCTATTCTCCATTTTCAACAGCTTTTCTTTTAGGCCTTATTATTATTAATTCTTCTGACTTCTGTCTTCTATCTGTGTGCTTTTCATCCACATATGAAATCTTTTAACCCTCCC